GAAGTAATCATTCCTGATTTTCCTGTTTTGGACTAGCCCTTTTAAAACTAGATTAGGCTACAGAGAAGGTCCTTCCTTAGCATGGAGGTGATTTAGATTTCTGTACTTGGAGTATTTAATTTCCAAGATGCAGGAGAACTTTCCAGTTTTCTAAAATATCTTTACTTTATTGTTAGACTGACTTTTAGGCCCTTCTGGAGCAAGGGCAACACTTCAAGTTTTGTCAATGAAAATAATGTTGGTGGTTCTGGTGTATGCATAGGAATCTGGGAAGAAGCAGGGGTTGTTTTCACCCTAGGTTGGGCAGAATAGGGGTCACTCAGCTGTCGTGATTTCTCACTCCTGCTTGCTTGGTGCTGTTACAAGCTGTAAGGAAAGAAGTTCTAAGCACTTTTAGCAATAGGAGGTTCAGGCTGGGTAGTCTTTCAAGTTTCTTGTTAGAGCTTATCCTTGTAAATCAGGACAAGCTGGGCCTTTGCATCCACTGCCCAGTCTTTGGAAGCAGTATGTGTGAGGAGAGAATAACAGCTTGTGACAATTTATGCAAAAGATCAGCTGCCTTTGAAATTCAGCATCTACAGCCTGATCCCAGCACTGGAACTGGTTGCTGCCACTTGTGGTTACACTGGAACACATGCCCTTGTGTGGTAATGAGCTCCTGACAAAAGTAAATGTTCTCTCGTTTTATGCTGATGTCCTAGGGAAATGACCCTGGGTCCCAGGGACTGCATTCATAGCATTTCTCGGGCAAAAATTTCTCAGCAGCATAAAATGAGCCTGTTGCAAAACACGCTCCACTCACCCAAGTGATAAAAAACTGGTTCTCCCATTTCCCACCCACATTTCGGGCACTCTATGAGGAAATGCCCATCTACCTCACCATCACTGCTGATAGCCCCTGGGTGGCAGAAAGGACAGCTGAAAGACTTCTACCTATTTATTAGTCCCTTCCACAAGAGGACCTGTGGTGGGTGCCTCCCCTTTCCCACTCACGCTGTGACCACTTGGAAGAGGTGTTCTCAGTGTAACATTGTATGGCTAAAGGGTTACTGGCCTTCCTCATCTGTTAGGATTTAATAAGCTGCCAAAAATCTTTGGGTTAAAACCAAAACTAAACAGTACAGACAACATCATTTAAAATACATGCAAGTGCTTGAGGTTGGTCTACATGTAGTGTGCCAGAATAATAGCCCTGGTGGGGGGAAAACCTTTTTTTCTAGGAAAAGGAGCATGTAAACAGTAACGGGAAGATTTTCTCGCCTATGGCACTGGCAATGTGCCTTTAAGCTGATGTGGTCTGAAAGCAAACTGCACTCTCTGGCTGTTCAATCTCTGCCTGGTGAACTGACACAGATGTGGGACTAAGGGTTCTGAGAAGTCCCAGGCAGCTGGTAATTGGAAGAAGGAGAGATTAGCAAATGGCAGCTATGGTTTTTCTAACAGATAAAGCTTGCTAGAGACAAATGGCCTGTGTGCTTTCCATCTGTCTCCTTTTCTCCATCCTCTGGCCTCTTCTTTCATGATTTACACAGCCTTTATTTAGGGTCAAAAGGATTAAAAGTAAATAATTAAGAATGAAGCTGTCAAGTCATAATGTGGAGAAAGCTGATAATGAGGATTAGCATTTGGGACAGTGGTTGCTGTAGGTATGGTGAGTAAACCATAGAGCTTGTTTACTCACAATATCGGTGGTATTGTGGGAGCATTGAAAGAGCTTTTTTGGCAGAGGAGATTGGATAATAGGTGGGTTCATCTTTAAAAGTTTAATTGAGTTCCAATACTAGTTTTAGTGAAGGTTTCTGGTAAGTAACAAGTATGTATTTGTGGAGAAGGGGATGATAAATAAAGCTAGCACTGTGTTATTCCCAGTTTGCTTTGAGCTCGCTCTCTTCCTGAGATGGGGAATTCTGTCAGGCATCAGCTTCCTTTTCAGACGGAAAAACATACGAAGAACGTGTGGATTTCATGAGAGATTTCTCAGCAAGCTGAAAGGGCCACAGCTTGTTTGTAGTACAGGAGAAGAGAACCTTGCTTGTATGTGATGTATGAGACAAAATAGTGTTTATGGAGTTCCTATATGTTTCAGCATCTTCATGATATGAGGAGGGATAAAACTACTTCATCACACAGCCACAGCTGTCAGGCCTTTAAGAGCAAGGAGGGCAGAAAGAAAAAACATAAAATGCTTGGGTCACTGCTGCCCAGGTGTGTTTGGAAGGACTGTGCTCCAGGAACCTCATGATGAGAACTGAAGCTGAAGCGAGACAGGAAAACAGCCCGACTACTTAAACAGCTGCTATTATGAAGATGGAAATCTCCAGGATTGCCCATGGAACGGCCTGATTTGCTGCAGTGAAAACAGGTTGGGTGTCAGGTGAACATCCAGTTTAAATGTAATGAAACATAAGAATAGGCTGCAGACACGTGTGGAATCTTATCAACAGTTTTCTAAGAGTTACTTGGATAACATTCATCAGGGATGGTCTAATCCCCTGTGTGCCTGGTCCTAATACAGGGCATTACAGAAGAAGGAGTTTCAGAGAACCCACCTTTCTGTGAGTCTGTTTGGTGTTTGTGAGGAAGGATTTCTACTGAAATCTGTGGACTCCGGATCAGACCCCAAATCCCTGAATTCCCTTAGATTTTAACATTAAGCATGTGCTTATGAGCTTAGTTTAATAGAGTTGTGTGAACTGGTTTAAGATCTGTAAGGGTAGTCATACAGTAAGAACGAAGTTTTCCTTCCATGTGTGGGCGGAAAACATGAATTAGTGAGATCCCAAGAATCCAGTATGAAAATATGCATTACTGGGTTTTTCTAGGGTTTAAGTGTTTTGGGTGCATATTCGGTCACGACCCATCTCACCGTAATCCAACTCCTAGTGCTCTTTCCACTGTGTTACAATGGGCTGGCCAATTTTTTTTTTTTTTCCGTTACAGTTTGTGATAGTTTGCAATGCACAGCCTAATTTAAAAATATAGATATATTAGAAAGCAAAACTGTGTTAATGAATCTCTCCCCTGGTCTTCTAGGGCAGTTTGTCTCCAAGCCTTTCTGTCTGACCTGAAATGTCATGTTTCAAAGCTCTGCTTCATTATCGTGGCGCCTGCTAGCTGTAGTTAAGGGTCTGTTAACAGCCCCGTTATAAACTCCTGGAAGTAGGGATTTATAATTAAGCAGTAAAAAATTGCTCTAGGCTGGAACTTGGCGTATAAAGTTTCAGTACAGGAACAATTGTGATTTCTCCCTCCTTTGTTTTTGCATTTGCTTATACACACACAATTCATTCAGTAGGTTTTTACTGTCCCCTTTCAGCACTTAAAAAGATTAAATAGCTGGGTTATTTATATTTCAGTACTGACTACTGTGCCCAGCCTGTTAATTGATTCAGTGTCTGTTAGCCCAGCTCTGAGGGATACAAGTCACTGTTTCACAAACCTGCTGCAAGGCTTTGGCGTAGTGGGAACAGCCCAGCGTGGATCACGGCGATCGTTCCTGTAGCTGTTGATTAAAGTGGGCTTCAGAGCCAGCTGTGTCCGCATCTGGAAAGCCGGTGTGAGTGTACTAAGCATGGTATCCCGATCCAGCATGGGTGGAAGCTACGTGTGGCCCTTCCTCAAATACGGAGGAACATGAAAGGGCCTGAACGACTGTCTGCCCTCAGCGTGATTTGATCTGGTCGCTTGATCATATACAGATATATCACTGTGAGATCTTCTGATGGGACGTCAAATGCTATGAGGAGGCTTGCTTGAAATTCCTCCAGCTCCAACTTGTTTCCTCATCGGAACCATGGTTCAGTGAAACCAGTTATTTCCTCATATTTTTTATGCTTTATGGGAAATTCTAGTATGGAAAAAGTTATTTAAATTTATTACTCCTAGAAATGATATTTCAGCCTTATGAAAAACATTTTAGTAATTTCTATTTTTATTCAATTTTAGAGGGTTTTTTTTAGGATATATAACACGTTTGTACTGTAAAGTCCTTACAACTAAAAGAGGGATAACAGCAATTTCTAAATGTATAATGTAGAATGCAGAGGTTAGAAATGAGACTTTTACACAAATTAAATGTTTTGGTTTAAGTAAAAGGTTTTTTTTTCCTTCAGGAACTGATTTTAGACGTTTTGTTCTGATCTAGCATTTGGTCACAGGCAAATCATAGTATTTCCTGCAAATCCCCAGAAGAGCTTGCTGTGCACTGTAGTTTTTGTATGTGATCCTGTGCACAGGTGTTTGCAAAATCAGGATCAAGGTGTATATTGCCATTAACATATTAAGCAGCGGTAATTCAACAGCAAAATGTCTTCGTTATTACGGAGCTGAGTCACCCCCTGGACTTTCTCATTTCTTTTCCACCCACTTATGTTTAATTTACAAAGGCAGCCTAGGGAAGATCAGTTCTCTTTAGTATCTTTTGTGTGCTGGTATGCTAGATTATAAATTATTATTGTCAAAGATTTGACCAGGTACTAAACAATCTGGTGTGAACGATTGAAGTGAGACATATTAACCCTCCCCTGCAGATTTCAAAGGCCCTGCATTGGTTTATACCAGCTCAAAATGTAGCTCTATTATTTTATCTTCTGCTGGATTATGATCCCACCTGTGTGCTCTAAACTGAGGGGTTTTCAGCTTTCTGTAACTGACTCCCCCACCCCTCCTTTTTTTTTCTTCCTGAGAAAAGTGACACAATTGCACACTTCACTGGGTAGGTCTGTTTGCTGTTGATTTAGTCTGGGAACACCTGAGCATCTCTACAGTGCCTGCAGGTTCTCTGTAGACTGCCTCTAGTCTAGTGCAATCCACGCAGGCCAGGGCATCTTGGTCTCATGGGACCCAAGACTCATCCACTATTTGCTTGTACCTTATCTTTAGGAAATGTCCTGCCACTGCGAACCACTGTTCTACACAACAAGGTTTAATATGTTTTATTTCATGCATTTTCTTTTTAATACATCAGGAGTAATTTTTAATTATCTCTTTATTTGCTTAGTATGGCGCACATATTAAAGACACTCAACAGCTGGTTCTGGTGGGAGAATATCTGGATGCCTGTCAATGTTACATGGGCACATTTTGTAGACCGTGACGGACTTGTCTTTCCAAAACCACACCAATTGTATGCCACGATACCGTATGCTTTTGTATTGCTGATTATCCGATTCTTCAGTGAAAGGTAAGAACATAAACACAATTTTAGTCTCATTTTAATCCTCATTAATGGTAAAAAATCTTGAAAAATAAGAGATCTTTAGATCAATGTTTTTATGTTTTTATAAAGGATGATTAGTCGGTGGTTTGCTAAAAAGCTCTAGTACAGATAACATGGCAGGTGAAAAACTGGGAAGTATTTTCACTATTGGGAACATGTGGCTATGGTCCAATCTAGAAGGAAAATGTTTCTAACTTTTCTAGACCAGCGTTTGGATATTTCTAACTACCTCCTTTTGCTGGAGATACAATTAATCCAAAACTATTTAGGTTTCATTTTGCTTTTTCCTCCTTTGGTAGAAGGTAGAGGTATTTGTCCAAACCAAACTTCTCCTTTCATTTGGTCCTGAGGCTGATAGAACCCAGGTGTCTAGCTGTAGCAAAACTAGGCAGACTGGAGAGATCTCAATATTTCATGTGAACATCTTATGCAGCTCTAGTAATGCCGATTCCTTTTTTTTTTTTTTTTTCCCTCACTTTGGCATTGAAAGATGGATTGCTTCTGCAGCTAGAATCTTATGGGACAGGCAGAGGTTGGCTCTACAGAAGAAAGCTACAAATATATTAAGATTTGCAGTGCTTTGACTTATGTATATGTGTGTTTTTTGCTTGACTTTCTTTTTTTGCTCTAAAGAATGATTAGTAGGTTTTTATAATTATTTCAGGATAGAATGAGGAAATTTGGAATGTCATAAGTTGGACAGACTTAAAACAGAACCAGATAAGATCATTCACGTTAGAGATCAAAAGTAATTTGGATCATATGTTTATAACCATCCACAGGGTCTCCTGAGTAAATGCTTGCCCAACTGTGTCTCACTGTGCTGCTATTGGAAATCGCTCATCTGAATAATTAGCCCACACATCTGGCTTGCAGTGAATCTGCCCATGAATGTGGAAAACTGACCGCTGCTATGAGTAATACGGAATCAATTGCTGATATCAGCAGGAGCGAGGGGGGCTTTTTCAGAAAAGCCTGCCCAAGTAGAATAGTGAAGCATTTGGCATGCTCTGCAGCAATTTGTATTGGAAAATGGAAGAGAAAGAGAAGCCTTCGGTCTCTGGGGCAATTGCTGTGTGCCGCAAGCCGAATCCAGTGTCTTGGGCAGTGGTAGCCTGGTGAAGCCATGTGCTAAGTGACTGTCTGCCGCTAGGAGAAAGTATCCCAGTAGCAATCAGCTCGCATGGAGAGAGCATTTGTTCGTGTCTCACTCTCCCTTAACTTGTCGCTGAAAAAGACAAGGACACAAAAATCAGGATCTTTCCTTTGGTTTTGTAGCATTTCAGGACCACAGACTTGAGTCCTTGGGTCTCCTTTTTTGCATAACTGCTAATGTGCCATGGTTTTCCCTTGGGATTAGCTAGAGGAAGATTCCTTTCTCTCACAGTGCACTGTCATATCCTAAAGCAGATTAAATTGTTTCAGATTTATTTCCTTCATATCCCGGCATGAGAATAGCTAAGGCCTTGTAACTGTTGTATTTTTAAAGTTTTTCATGGTATGTCTTTTCAGATATGTTGCTATACCTCTAGCAAAAGCCTTAGGTATAAAGAATGTAAGACGTGTGAAGCCACAGCCTAATCCTGTTTTAGAGAGTTATTTCCGGGAGTGCTCAAAACATCCATCCCAAGTAAGGATTCTCATTCTTTTAAACTAGTTTTGGTTTTGGAAAATCCCAAGTCTTACTGTTTCAGTCAGCTCTCTGCAATGACATCATGGGATGAGTTCCAGCTGATTGACAGATGACTTAATTTATTTGGGTTTTTGTTGCTGTTCTGCTGACAAGGGTATATGGCATCCAAAACAGAAAATATGTTTAAGATATTTAATTTTCTGGCATGCTGTGCTAGGTTAGACTGCTAATGTTATTTCCAGTGAAGATCAGTGTTCCATCTTTAACTCATTCTGCCTGGAGAGAACATCAGCTGACATCTGTTGTTGGAAAGCGGTATCATATTTATTGCAAGCAATAATACTGGAACGCTGGCATAGAAGCTGTTTGATCCGTTATGTTGCTGCATACTTAATCCTGGCTTATGTGAGAAAGAAAAGCAATCTTTCTATTGCCTTGTTGTTTGTTTTTAAATTTGAACAAGGAAAAAATAATAGCCAATATTTACCATCTCAAAAAAGGAGGCAACTTGATTGTTGGTGAGAAACAGGTACATTGCTGTGAATGCAGCATCAAAAAGTTCACTTATCTATACAGATACCAAACAATTCCAGTGTTCCTACAGTTTTTGAGAATATGTGCTTTCTAGTAATGGAGGATGTTGATGATTATTGATATGTGGGACTTTGCTTTCTATCCCTAACACTGCTATTGTCTTACTGTGTCTTTTGCCTGATACCATCAGAAATGTATGTATTTGTGTTCACGTGTGACATCTTCTCTATCCGGGCAAGTATCCCGATCTCTCTGTTTCACACCTTCCTTCTGCATGAGCACAGTTTGAACCTCTGAAAGGAAGCACAGCATCTTCATGCTCATTACATGGGAAAGATTCAGGCTGCCTCCTTTAGTGTCCAGCTTGGGGACCAGTGTGCCTGAGAAGGCATGTAGGTTCCATTGTCTGTCAAAACAAAGTTGGTATTCCTGCGTGGCAAGCAGAGAGCTCTCCAGCCAGCAGGATGGGCTGAACGCAGAGACTGTTTCCAGTCCTGCCCTCGTGGCAGCTGAGGTGCCTTTGCTGACATACCAGAGCTTTCTCTGAGGGTAAGAGACTAACTGAACTGGACTTGCTGCTGCCACCCACTATTTGCATACTAGCCTTGTGGGGAAAGAACTTCCCCAGGGATGAGTCAAACACTACCTCTGCTCCTGCAGCAGCCCCAGGGAAGGTCAGCCCATGCCTTCTGCACTTTGGGGTGGAGGAGAGGGAGAAAGCCTACAGTCTGCTGCACGTGGGGCACTGAGCACCCAGAAATGCAAGAGGCACACTGCCTTGTGCTTTGCACACGCTAGCGTGGCTGCACGGCGGAGCTGCTTCACCTTCAGAGCACACACAAAGCAGAGACACCCAACTTGCACTCGACTGGCTAGCTGTACTGCTAGGCAATGCTCTAGCCCTGATTTATTTTTAGGTGTCAAAAGGCAGTCTGGATTTTGCTCAGTAGGATTAACTGCCTTGCCCTGTACCACAGAAGTATGTTGGATTTGAGAACAGAGCTCAGGTCACCTTAATTGCAGGCCTGCATCTCACCTGTGAGACTTATTTAAGTACAATAATGAATTATTGTTAGGTAAGACATTAGATACAATCTCCATGTGTGATGATACACGGCACTTCCCCCTCCGGACCAGCCTTTTGCTTAGCAGTAGAAGTCACATCTTTGAACCTATCAGAAGCCATCATGAAAGACAATAGCACAGTTTGTGGATCTGTATGTTTTATGCCTGCTTTATTTATATAAATTAGTGTCTCAAAACCCAAGGTTTCCGTGTCACTCAGAAATTAAACCTGGATGCCTGCAAGGTAAACCCTGATAGTTAGTTAATATTAGTAATATTTTTAAATTACTAGCTCCCACCTTACAACAGCGTGAAACTGATCTGTGAACTATGAAATAAATGAAGATGACATTGGAGTACGTCTTGTGGCTAACACTATTCCGTTTTTTGCAGTCAGAGATTCAAGGCCTTGCCAAAAAGTGCAACTGTACAGTCCGTTTGGTGGAAAAGTGGTTTAGGAGACGGCGAAACCTTGAGATCCCGACGGTTCTTCGGAAATTCCAGGAAGCTTTGTAAGAAAAGACAGTGCTTTTGATTATAATGGATTTTAGTGTTTTGAAAAAAAAAATTATTGAAGTCCTCAGGTGCCTTTTCAGGGGAACTCATTTCAAAGCTGGGTCTGTCTGACAAGGGTTTTGGTTCGTGCATACACAAATGAACTGAAAGTGTCTTGTAGTATTTCTTCAAATGGTGTAACTTTAAAAGATTACATTAACAGTTTCTCCTGAAAAAAAATCCTCAAAAATATTTTACAGTTTTCCTCATTGTGTAGTAATGGACTTATTTGTATGCTCCTGCCACATAGTGCTTAACAAAAACATGCAGAGAATAGACAAACATTTTTCTGTCTACCAGTAATCACAGGGGAACAAAAATGCTTGTTCACTCTTGTTTATATGTATCCACACTGTCATCTTGGAATGCTAGTTTGTGTACAGAAGTCAGTTCAAGAGCAGGAATCATGGCATTCTAACTAAATGGTAGGTGTCACAGCTTGAATGAGGGGTACTATGCAAAACATGAGCTGAAAGGTGCTGATGAGAGTGGGCCACTGAGCAATTTTGAGTGATAATATTGAATACATAAAAGTTTTAAAACTTCCTGCATATGATTGAAAAGTAGAAAAGCATTCAAGAGTGTGATTTGTCACAAACATGCGCGAATTTCCCCATACCTAAGCATTTTACTATTTAACTATTCCAGTGTTGTCCAAAATCTCATACAAACTGTAAATCCCCAAATAAGCATGGCTTTACTTGCGTAGCTTGTACCTTTTGGATACCGAAATTAACTGTACCCGTGTGAAACACTTTCCTAATGTCCTGTGTATTTGGATTTTTGACAAGCACAAATTACATTAGCAAAAATTCACATGATTATAATATTTAATGTCTTTTAGTGTAGATTAGCTTAAGGAATGAGGGTTAAAAGTACAGCTACAAAGCTCAAAGTTGAACACTTTATCAAGATGATTTTCAGTGTGAATCAATATCATCATGTTGTTGATGTTCTCTGGGCATTAAATCCAGTTGATAGACATAGATGTATCGCTCTGAAGCCTGAGTTGAGTAAACTGTCCTGGCAAACCAACAACCATGGTTTATTTCTGCTGTTGTTTTGTGGATCAGTTTTGTTTTACAAGTGACAATAAGATTTCCTGTTATTGATAAAAGACCTACCTGCTATGGATGCATATGTCTAGTAATACACATCCGAAGACTGAAATTAAAGCTTGCTTGGCAGCTTGAGTGAGAACGAAGCAAACAGGTTTCTCTTGTGCAATTTCGTGAACCTTGCTCTGCTCTTTGTCAGTGAATTTAATTGGATATAATTCTCAAGGCAACAAATGAGGAACAGAGTTATTCCACGTTAATAGTCAGCGTTATGAGCATTATGAAATTTTTGAAAGCCTGCAATCTCCAGGATCATTTTTCTGAATCACAAGGAAAATCTGATGAGCCAGATCTAAACCGTACTTAAGCTATTAGTGCTCCCAGTTAAGCAACACTGAGGTTTGGAAAGCCCTTTGCATGAAACCTTCCCTGCCTTAAAAGACTTGCCAGCCTTTAACTTCACCTACTAAATTCTTGTTTGTTAGACTCAATTGAAGAGAAAAGATTCCCGAAGCTAAATAAGAAAGTCCTTCTGCACAGCTGTTGTTTGATGCTCTCCCTGATGGCCAGGTTCAGAGCTTAAAGGGCGCTTCTTGGCTAAAATTTCGTGAATTTGGATGAATTTTACTTTTAGGTTTTGTTCACCGAATTCATAAAGAAGCTTGGCTAAATGCAAAATGAGGTAGTGCTCTGGCAGTCTTGCATGTATAATGGTTTCATCTGAAGCACTGAGGGTTTATTGCCAAGTGCGTTCAATACATACTTGTAGGACTGGGCACTAGTGGCACAGTCTTGTTAGGTGCTCTACGCTGGGGATCCGATTCAGAAAACCGCTATCTAAACCGTACTTAAGCTATTAGTGCTCCCAGTTAAGCAACACTGAGGTTTGGAAAGCCCTTTGCATGAAACCTTCCCTGCCTTAAAAAACTTGCCAGCCTTTAACTTCACCTACTAAATTCTTGTTTGTTAGACTCAACTGAAGAGAAAAGATTCCTGAAGCTAAATAAGAAAGTCCTTCTGCACAGCTGTTGTTTGATGCTCTCCCTGATGGCCAGGTTCAGAGCTTAAAGGGCGCTTCTTGGCTAAAATTTGGTGAATTTCGATGAATTTTACTTTAGGTTTTGTTCACCGAATTCATAAAAAAGCTTGGCACAGCTGTTGTTTGATGCTCTCCCTGATGGCCAGGTTCAGAGCTTAAAGGGCGCTTCTTGGCTAAAATTTCGTGAATTTGGATGAATTTTACTTTTAGGTTTTGTTCACCGAATTCATAAAGAAGCTTGGCTAAATGCAAAATGAGGTAGTGCTCTGGCAGTCTTGCATGTATAATGATTTCATCTGAAGCACTGAGGGTTTATTGCCAAGTGCGTTCAATACATACTTGTAGGACTGGGCACTAGTGGCACAGTCTTGTTAGGTGCTCTGCGCTGGGGATCCGATTCAGAAAACTGCTTACACTTTACCATTAACACAGAATCAATCCCGCTATATCCACTGGGCTACTCACACCTCCATTCCTTGAAATAGAAGGCATGAGGGCAGAATTAGCCCCTGTGTAGAGTCTATCTCATGTCAGAGTGTTGTTTTTCCCACAGCATCTCTTGGTTAACTTTGAGCCAGGTATTAGTTGTGGGTTCCACTCTTCCATTTGCTCTCCTAACTTCCACCGCCTACCTTTCAATTTTTCTGTCTGTGCAGTGGGTGTTCTGAAGTGTTATTTTCAAATCACGCAAGGAGAGATGCTGTAAAGTTGAAAAGTAAAATGATTGTTTATTACCAGCGCATCGAGTGGCAGTTTTATAATTGTGTTCTTGACTTCATCCGCAGGCGTGAGACATATTATCTTGTCTAGCTTCTGCCATTCCATGTCCTCATCTCTTGTTTGTTTGTTTTTCTTGTAAAATGCTGGCTTTGAACATCTCATTCTTTCACCTGGGGTATCAGCCTCCAGGCAATGCAGGGCTGAGAAAGGAGGGACTGCTTTTACCAGACAGGTTCGCATCATCTTCACTAGTAAGGCACTTCATTAGTGTTTGCCAAAGACCACGATCTCATTTTTAAACATCTCTCAATCCATTAGTGCAGTGTCCTTCTTGAGGCTTTCTCCTTTTTAGCAAATTCAGGTTTTCTGGGAGGCTGTTTGCTGCTCTCCTTTGGGATACCTCTTGTTCTATAAAATGTTCTCACCAGCTTTGGGGCCATGTGCCTGTTTCTGTGATCACGACCTTTCTTAGCATGTGAAGTCCCATGGTGTTTTCCTACTGATCTTGAAGAGCTGCTCTGGGAAAGGTCAGCCTTGTTCCTGCCCAGGAGAAGAGTGGAAAGGAAGAAGTTTTCCATCACCTGTAGAGGTGGGAGTGGGAACGCTCCGTCTGAGTCTCCAGCCGCACCCAGTCCCAGGGACAATACCTCCCACGCAGGCTCCAGAGTCATTACAACACTGATTCCTGGCTCCAAATCACAGCATCCTGCTCTGACATACAAGCAACTACATAGTTTCGGTTCACTAGGATACACAAGAACTTTTTTCCCTTTGCTGACTTACCAGATCTCTGGTGAAAACCTGAAAGTTTTATCTGCCTTGATGAATATCCTTTTAAGCCACAAAAAGCTTAGATCAGGCTAAATGCTGGCAAACCTAGTCAAAGATTGAGGTTTATATTTAATTCAGACCTCCATAGTAAGACGCAAAGTAATCCAGTCGTTGTTAAAGTTTCATAGGGCTCCCCTGTTTGCAACAATCGGTGTTAAGAGAGATCAAAAGAAATTAATCCAGCAATTGAAACAAGTCACTGTTGATGTTCACAGTGTTTGATCAGACTGAAAAATATGTGCCACGTGGCTGAAGGGCCTTCTTGAGTCAGGGAGCTGTGAGATGTTCTTAGTCCAGTGTGAATGTTCTAGAGGGATGGATACAGCAGGAAAGATTGGTGTTATCAAACATTAAGTTTTAGGGAATTCATTACATTTGCTGTGACCATTCTCTTGATCAGCTCATGCCTGGCTGGAAAATTACTGCTGTAATCACAATCAAGGTATCTGTATTGTCAGAACTTAAAATAATTTACTACTTTAGCAATTAGTCAAAGCTTAAGTATTTAAATATTAATAGTTCAGATATAGTTAATATGTGACAATTAACAGGCATGTGAGGACACATTTATGTGAAAGTTGTCTGTGATATACAAGATTTGCAGTAATTCTGTCTCAAGATGATCTCTATCAAAATATAATGCTTTGTTCTTATTTTTTCATTTTAATTTTGCAGTTGGCGATTTTCATTCTATCTTATATCCTCCATTGCTGGATTTATATTTCTGTATGATGTAAGTTAATTTTTTGAAGGATTGACTTTTTTTTTTTCCTTAACAAAAGAACTGAATTCTAGATCTTTCTGAAACCCATTGAAAGACTCACTGGCTTCAGTGGCTCTTTGGGTTCAGATCTTTGTATGTATGTAATTGAGATGATAGGCTGCAATATGCACTGAGGTTTTACTTAATTTTTGAATTAACTTTTGAACTTCTATGATAAGGTAACTTATGAGTAATCAGTATTTTTAAGGAAAGTTTTAAGAAGTCACACAGATAGTTTTACAACACGCCTTGTTAACACCTACAAATGCATCACATGGCCATGTTTTCTCAAAGGAGGCCATAAACCTTTTCTGGCAGCACTTTTGGGGGTCGCAACAATGGTGTATTTCACAGCTATTTATTGAGGTGTTGCTGCTGAGTCAGAAGTTGGGAATAACAGAGAGAGTGCTGCTTCTAACTATGTGAGCACTGCCTGGGGTGTCATTAATGCTTCTCCTGAGCAACAGAACTGTTCTCAGCGTGTCTACATTCATCTGGCTCTTCTCCGCAAACACTGTTTATCATCATGAACCAGTGATGTGTGTGGCTGGTAAACACAGCAAAATCTAATCACTGTGGCAACATATCTTGAGTAATTGCAGTAATAAAACACACACCCACTGCTTTGGATGATGAAATGACGAACTGGAATGTTTCAGGTGTCCTGAAAAGAAGCCAGAAAGCTGGGACCAATATAGTAACTCTGAGATGTAAGATCCCTTTAGAAATTGGTGGAGAGCAGTTATCAAGACTATAGCTTCCTAGCCTGCTCCACTTAGAGAAATTTTAAGTATTGAAGATTTTGAGTTAAGATGATTGTTGCTCAACTGATCAAGCTCTGAATGATCTGTCTTTCCCAGAAACCATGGTTTTACGACATATGGCAGACGTGGGTTGGCTATCCATTTCAGGTGAGCTTTTTGGCATCGGGCTATTGGCCTCGAGGCATTCCAAGTATTTCCCCATTGGAAGGGCTAATCCGCAGAAGCGCTTCTCCCTCCCAAGGGGCACCACGTGGAGAGGTGCGGCACCAAAGCCTTTTGCCCTTCTTTGGTACCTCCTGCTGACTGTTGCAGGACTTCTGCATGATCTGCCTGTGCTGCAACTCAGCCCTCCAGCCAGACCACTATTACTTCCTCCTGTCCCAGGTTACCAGTTGCACACAGTAGATGGTATCTGTCTTACGGGTTTTGGTGCAGAACTCCTAAGCTTGCACCAGTCCTGCAGATGCTTCAAGGCACTGCAGAATAGCGTTATGCAGAGGATTATGCTGAGTGATTTGGTTTGGCATAATGTGAGTCCCTGCTCTGGGGATCTTTGCTCAATACTCTGGTTGTTCCCAAGGGTCACAAGGCTCTCGTTTCTTCTTAAATATTTTACTAACAGTCCCGTAACAGATGATTCCAAGCAAATTGCCTTCTTGCCCACCTGCCAGAGGTTCTTATGTGCCCCCTCCCTCCTATTTTTATAAATCTGTGGCCCGTCACACTGCCTTCTTATTCCTGTCCTACTCAGGGACCAAAAATAAAAAGAATCCTGTCTCCTAGCTGAGTTTTCCTAGCCTCTCTTACTTGTGGGACCTGCTAACCAAGCCTACTTCCTGCCACCTGGGAATCGTATTGAACCAAGGGAGCAGCCAAGCTCAGCATCTAGCCCTAAGCAGATGCATAGGATTTTAGCATAAATAGCTGACGTTTTAGTCATGGGATGTGTGAAGGTTTAAAATGTTAATTGTTCACCAAAATGGAGGGCTTAGTTTATTTGCAGTTGTTTGTAATTAAATGCAGAAGCAGTCTGCGTGTAGTTCTCTGACAAAAACATAGAAAAAAGCATGTGAAAATTGAGAGGTGGGGGAGGAACTGCAGAAACTGAGAGTTTGGTCTGAGTAAAGGTTAAAGTATTTGGCTCCCAGAACATCCTTCTTAATGAAGCCCAGAACAGGGATTTAGTTTAGTTTAATTTTTTAAGCAAGACTCAGCAGAGGAACAAAAGAAGCAAGGAAAGGAAAAAAGAAGTAATTTCACTTGGCATTCACTTCTTGCTATTCTCAGTGTTAACTGTATTTTTCTTCATTACAGACTCTGCTGCCATCCCAATATTGGTACTACATGGCTGAGATTAGTTTTTACTGGTCTCTCTTATTTACACTCGGGATTGACAACAAAAGGAAGGCAAGTGGTCATGCTTGTTTGTAGCTAGAACCTCTGTTTCCATGAGGGGAGCAAAAAAAAAAAACCTTCATAAGCAAGAGCACGGTCCTCATACTGGGTTTGGTGCAGCCACATGAGGGCAGCATCAGTCTATCCCTGGCACACCTGCACACATCCATGCTCTCCTGGCTGCCAGGGCATCTCTCTGCGCGACAAGTCTTGCTTGTCACTTCATCCGTACAGAGACCTTCAAGGTCTGTACTTGCTTGGCTCTACTTTTTTTTTTTCTTCTCTCCTTCACAGGATTTTCTGGCTCATGTTGTTCATCACTTGGCAGCCATTGGGTTGATGAGCGGCTCTTGGTGTGGCAATTACGTGCGTCTTGGAACACTGGTGATGTTTGTGCATGATACTGCAGATTTCTGGCTCGAGGTAACCCTGCCCTCCATCTTTCTTTGTTTTGGGTTTTTTGGTTTTTGCCCAAGTTATGTTCAGTGACGTTTTAATCTTTTTGCCACAAGTTTCATACGAACCCTTCCTATCCCCACGGAGACATGGCTTCACAGATTCATATATTCTAAGATAAAAAAGAGCTTCTAGATAATTTAAGATGATACTCTGTTGCAGAGTCCATTATGAGAAAAGAACAGAAGTTCTTCAGTACAGAGCGGGGACTGGAAATGCAGCTGTATCCCTGGATTATTCTTGTTTCACTGTTAAAATTAGACCAAGTTGGCTAGCCTGTGAACAGCTTGTCATGATACCAATTCTCAAGGAAATTTAGCAGCCAAAATTTTGGCTACTTCGCCAAACTGGCTTGATTTTGTCAGCATTCACACCCCTGTGTTGACCCAAGGGGTAATCTACACTATACGCTTCTGGCTGGAAGACTCAAGCTGTCCCTGAACAAGATTTCACAGGTATCTGGTGGCAGAAGAAAAGTTTCATCCCCTGGATGGAAGGGGAAGTCTATTCCCTGAACTGAATATTAATGTTTAGAAATATTTAAGATTAAGAAGTGTCCTATTCTGCACACAGCGCTGTGATCTTAGAAACTTGCTGCTGGGTTTCTTGGAAGACAAATGCACGCTGTACTTCCTTCAGTAGAGTTATCCCAGTTACACAACAGCGAGATGAGAGCATAGTTTCGTCAGCTCTTTTGGTGGCAGTGCCAGTGTAGGCAGCCCTGGTTGGCTGTTGTCTGTCACTGTTCATTTCTGCTCTTGATACTCCTATCTGTTGTATTGGAATAACTAATTGTGGGGTCATGCAGTTGGGACTGGTCCAGATTAAACACATACATACAGGTTTTTGCTGGGTTATTTTTAATCCTGAATTGCTTTGTGGTCTAGTTAACCATGTGGCCTTACAAACAGTTGAGCTGAGAACTGGTAGGACAGGACTCAGGTGGAAATTGAAATTGGGTACCAGAATCACTTAATTGAGCCCTGCCACTCCGAAGTTCATCAAACTGCTGTTTAAAACTTAGGCTTGGCACCTGAAGCTTTGCTCACACTTGATAACAGCTGTTTCATTCAGCAGTGCCCAGGGCGTTTCCTGAATGAAGCATGGAGAGCTGTACAGTTCAGCTAGGGGAGAAGCAGCAATTATAATATTTATTAGCGCGATAGAGACCAACGCTGGGATCTCCAGCTCTCAAAAAGGAGAAAACAAAAGCTGCATTAAGCACAGGGAAGGGTCAGTAATGTGCGTGCACCTGAACGCTTGCGTATAAGGGGTCACTGCCGTTCCTGAGCATGCAGATCTGGCCAGCAGCTTCCCTTTGATTCAGCCCACTTTGAATCTGGTACAGGAATGAGGGATTACCTCTGTTTTTAAGAGCACTTTATGTTTTCATGACACTTTTATATTCTGATTGGAGGGCTGCTCTCTAGGCCTTTGATACAGAGTCCTTTCCCTCAAGATGAAAGGAGGAATATAAACAAAGAATCTGTTTTGATACTGTTTTATTAGGTATCAGTAAAATGATTGCTCTACATGTCAAACAGGGAGGAAATTTTCTTCCTGCTTAGATGGAAGATGACTCCTTGTTTATGAAAATGCAGAAAGGAACTTATTTCACAGAATATTTGTAATATGTTTGATGGTTTTTACTCGATGCAGGCAGCCAAAATGTTTAATTACGCTCACTGGGAGAAAACATGCAATATGCTCTTTATCATCTTTTCTATCGCATTCTTCATCACGAGAATCATCCTGTTCCCCTTCTGGTAAGCAATATTTAATGTAGTCACAGGCTTTTATTTCATTCCCATTTCCATTGAGAGGTTAAGTATTGGTTTTGATGCGAAAAGGAGAGGAATGTATTGTACTTTGAAGAGGAAAAGCAGAACTTCCATTATTGTTGGCTACTGAAGGCCAGCGAGAAGAGTTGACAAAAACTGTAGTTTTTAAAAGACAGTTTTTAATCGAAGTAAAAAGAGTTTTTAAATGAGCCTCTTGAAAATATCCTAACCTAAATACAGGCTTTTATGTATTATTTAACTTATTTTCATAAATTGTAGTTAAATGCTATGAACTCCTGTATTTTTGAGGGGATTGAGCTACTTAACTAGGAGAAATAATTTTCCCTTTCATTCCATCCCTCCTGCTGTAGCGGTAAAGTCAGAGTACAGTGTAATTCCTACATGATTGTAGTTAACTTTTTGTAGTGCCTTCTTTTTGCTACCTAGTTCTTAGGCAGTACCTCACCTCACTTACATGAGGAGCATTCAGAAAAGTTAAGGTGAACCAATCATTTTATGAAGTCAACGCAAATAAATCATAACTTGTTAAATACTCAGATGACTTTGGAGTGCTGTGACTTAGTCTGCTTTGGAGTATCTGCACGGGTGCTTAGTGTGCTTAATGCTTAATATGTTTAGCTCTTTAAAAGTGTTTAATGTGTTTCACATTCATGGTTTCGTTGACTTGCTCTACTTTGCCTTCATGCCCCTCCCTGCATGTGGACAAACCCTTAGAGACTCAAGCTGGTTAAATTAATAGTTAAGATCCTTGATCAACACAAGGTTTTAATTTCCTATAGTATTTTCTTTCAGAAATGCTGATGTCTTTTATTTTCTTGTTATTTTTTTATTAACTATAGAAGTGATCTTGAGTCATTTTTCTTCACTGAGTTTCTTGTTCTTGAGCTTGGAAACAAAATGCGATGAGATTAAAGGGACTCAAAAAGCCCCAAATAATATAGAAAAGTAGTGAAGTCTGAAGATGGACAAAACATATGTTAATTAACAAAAAGCTCTGTTGCAAAGCCTGTAGGATTTTCTCTGGAGTATGGATTTCAGATTAGAAAGAATTTGCATTAAAAAAAAAGGCATAGATAAGCTCTGAGTTGCATAGTATCTAGACCACACAAAGCTCAAGATTAAAAAAAGGGATTTTTTTTCTAACCGTATTTAGAATACTTTCATGCAAGACTCAAATTTCTCATCTTCTGAAGTCTATATTTCAATGGACATGCATAATCTAGTTAAGACAGGGCTTGATAATTAATCTGTCATCTTTGCAGAGCTTTTTAATATCTTGTGGAAATAGTTAATTGGTTTGGAATGTGAAATTAAGCATAGGGAAGGATTCTTGCACCTTAACAATGACCTTTGTTTTTTAGGATTCTTCGTGCCACCTTGTATCAGCCGACATACTACTCCACCACTCCTGTCATAGCATATTTTTTATTCAATGGGCAGCTATTGATCCTTCAAGGCTTGCATTTATATTGGGGTTACTTAATTTTCAAGATTTTGAGAAGGTTCATTTTCTTAAAGGTAAGCAATTTTGCTTCTGCAGAAAGATGTGTAAAGTATCAAACAGATGCTAATACCTAAAAGAGATTTACTCGGAACTTCTTATTGTTTTCCTGAACTTCTGTGTCAGGATTTTTGACAGGGATCTATAAAGTATAAAGACGTTCAAATGTGCTTTCTACCTCACTGTCACACCTGAGGTCATATATCAGGATATAAAAACTTCAGCTAGGGCCTTTTTTTGCCTGTACCCGATGTTTTCCTCTGATAGTAAATGAGAAATGAGCTCTCTCCAAAACTGAAGCCCTGAGATGCTGCAGGATTCTTTAGGAATTCCTGTGTTCCAAGTGAAAGTAATCTTTTCTCACTGGACTTTGTAGGGGACATACCAAAAAAGGAGAGGAGAGGTGAGTGATGGGATCTTTAAACACTCCAGAAACTTGTAGTCAAAGTTCTTCAGGTTTGTGTAAATCTGAGGTCAGCTATACTTGAATGCTGGTTTTGAATTCAGAAAACCATATGAAGCTGATCTGGAATTATGTTATGATACAATGAAATGCTGTCATATACAACTGGAGTAGAGAAACAGTGCAGGTCTGGTGCTGCCATAACCTGTGTTTACCTTGTACAGAAAATCATGTGGGGAAAAAACTATAAAGAAAACTTTGCTGCAGTGTAGGGCTTGTTTGATTGCCTGAAGTAGTAACATTTTCAAAAGGTCTCTTGTCATGAAGTATGCGGTGTGGTGCAGTGTAGATCAAACAACTAGCAAAAAGCATTTAGAAATGGACTTTGGAGAATTTCTCTTTAGAGTTGGTATAAGCATTGACAGGCATATTGTGCTAGTTAAGGTAAAACTTAGGTTGTGCTGTTGAAAAACGGTGTTTTTTTGAGGATCAGAGATGCAAAAACTTAACTGAGCTGACTCTGTCCTTTTATCTGAAGCAGTTAATGCTGTGAAGCATCTTAAAGAAATAGAAATACTCCTTTTTACTCTTACTAATTTTACTATCTTACTCTGATAACAGAAACCGTCCTATATTCTTGGATTATTGGATTCCTTCAACTCATGCAAGTAGACACCTGTATATCATAGGGAGACCCAGGGTCTTCCCTAGAACAAAACTGTAGTTATGAACTCAACCCCTATTAGACAGCAAACAGCTGCACATAAGGGACAAATCTGTAGAAGAAATGGCATCTAAAAGATGCTGCTATGTTCCCTTAGGCAGTTTGGGAAAACTGAAAAGTTTGTATTTTTTGCATGTCACTTACCTCTGTTAGATTAATTAGAAAATTATTTCTGGCCCGGCTTATTGAGTGTTAAAGTGTTTTACTTCTCATTTCCTTTTTTGATTGTGGCCCTGTCTCTGCGCTGTTCTCACACAACTCTTCTGATGAAATCAAGAGGGACATTCCTCTGCCTTCCAGCTGAGTAAGAGGAAGGCTTTGGTATAGTTCTCCATCCACATTGGTTGAGGTTATGAGAGTACAATGCAAGAAGGTCTTCAGACACGGTGGTGAAGAGGACATTACTAGGCCAGCTATATAAGGCCATTCTGCCCTGCCTGCCTTTGTAAGGGGCAGAAATGTTTTATTTTGAGATAAGAGCTTTTTTGTGTTAGTCATTGCTAAAAAATGGAAATCATCAAGCCTGCATCCCTACCCTGGATTTTTGATTCCTTATACAGCTCTCTGAGAAGATGGTTTCTAAATAACATTTTAACAGTGGTAGCAGCAGCAGCCCTAGCCCTTTTCAGTCTGGATGACTTCAGCTGGTTTGCATGTGCAGCCTGTTTTCCATAGCGGTGGCAAACTTGGCTGTGAAAGCAGCCAGTGCCTCCAACGCTGTAAAGGCAACGTTGAAAAGAATGGTGTTTGCAAGGCAGCGTTTTTATACCAACATACTTGTTATAGACATACTCCCCACAAATAGCTGTTGCTATTTTAGTGAAATACCAGTAAACCATCATCCTTGTATTAGAAGGGTTTTGTTTCTCTGCCCAAGTCTTAAGTTTTCATTCAGAAAACAGGCAATTTTGGACATTTTTCTTGAAGCAACAGTTAGCTACTTCAGATGGAAAAATGAAGTCATGATGTAACTGGGAATAGGGACCGATGTTGTTTAACTGAAGGAAGCTCTGAGCATAGCAAGGGTGTAAGGAATTTTCTCAGTGCCCTCTGTGCCTTGAGCCAGGCGGGCTTGTGGAAACTGCTATAGTGCAGCAGTTAACAGCTCTTAGCACCCTTCCAGGGGCACGTGTCGACCCTGACCATATCCTTCTGGACCGTGGCATCGCACCGTCTGAATGTCAATGGGCTTGGATGTTTATTCTCAGTGGGAAGTGCTGTTGTCCCTGGTTAAAGGACTTGTCTGGGTCAGACATCAAAGCTGGGACTCAGTGGGAAGTGTAAACAGGAGGACCCAAGTCTCCAGGATGTCACATACACACCAAGTCCCCTTTGCTTTTATTCAAAGAGTCACACAGGGCTGTGTCACGTCTTGCTTAGAGCTCTGGGTCTAGATTGAATACTCTTATCTCCAGGCTGTGGCAGGAGGCTTTGTTCAAGACAGGGATTAACACAGAAATGACACAGAGTACTGCAGCCTTGTGAGTTGGTAGCTTCTTCCATGCTTTACTCTTCCCCCTTGGGAAGAGATCGCTTTTGTCTGAGGCTGGTAAGAAGCTTTTCATCTCAGATGTCACCTCCCCTCTGCACTAATAAAGGGGACATTTATCCTCTGGGATAACTGCTCAGCTGACCGACTTGCTTCAGCAGAAACGAACGTGGACTAAAAATCCCACGTTCTCCCTCCTCCCAAATACTGCAGCCAGACATAAATAAAAATGAGGAAACCAAGGAAAGAGGGGAGGAGATGATCTTGCTCTGTCCTATTTCCTCAGGCATGGGAGTCTCTGGCACCAGAGCTGGTAGCACAGAGCAGCACTGGTCTCCAGGCTCATGGGACTTGTGCCACCTTTCCCCTGGCCCAGTCCTCCAGAAATGCCCTAACAAGGGGGAATTCTGCATTGACGAGCTAACCTCCGCTCAGCTACCTTTGTGTTAAGAAGATTTTTATTTTCTATGGGGATAAACTTGAGGGGACAGGAGTCTTAAATTTCTCAAATCAAAGATTATTCTTACTTCTGCAAAATATAAAAAAATACCCCAAAAGGAACCCCAATGTCCTTTCTCATATGACATTTTGTGACCCCCATACATGAGTAAGGCATGCGCGTGTAAGAAAAGCCCTTCAAGGTCAGACCAGTAGCCATGTATCTTAGAGCAGCCCTGCCGTGAGAGGAAGGGCATGCTTCAGGGTCATTTCAAGTTAGGTCAGGCAACTGCAATGTTAGCTGCTGGCTGCCATCTTGATGTCCAAGGCCTTTTGTTGCTACGAAACTCCGTGTTTCTGCAATATTGTTCAATTACATGGTTAAATTACCCCCTTGTATCAAGTTTCAAGCACCACTGAAACATGTCTAGTCATCATGTCTGCACATATGAGAATATTTTAGGAAAATTGAAAAAACATATAGAGAAGTATGTGTATATGCACTGATTTTAAAATATCTCGCCAGGAAAATCCCCTGGAGATTAAACATTTTATTTCCAAGGTCAGAAAAAGGGAGCAAATGACAGCAGCTTATAGCCACATTATTATGGCAAATTAAGATGTAAAATATATGTTAAAACCATTACACACTGAGTTCAGGTTTTGAGACTACAGTGCTTTAAATCTTGAAAAATATGTGTAAGTTGTAGGAAATGGGCATCATGTCCACATGACTCAGATACTTCAGGGCTGATGTAAAGTCCATCAATGGCAGAAGGTAATGGCAGGCTTTTACTGTTCTGTAGTGTGATGAGGAATATGTTTACTTGCTCTTTTAATTGTTTTGTCACTGTCAGACTGCATTCAAGTAAGGCAGTGAGCTTCTTACTAATGATCACTATTATTTAAGAGTCATCAGCTACAGTTTTATTTGATGCACCTTTGTTCTTTCCTCTTCCTGAAGCACAAAAGATCTACGGGGTCTTGCACCACCGTAGAGCAGGCTTTTGGACTTGCCATTCTTTAAAAAAAAAAAATCAGCTGATGCCACCTATGTATCTTCAATATTCCTTTGGTATTTTGTACTCAGTGAGCAGGCTTTTTAAAGATTTTAGTTGGGTGTATTCTTGTCCATGGTGTGTTCATTCCTTATTTGGTCCAAATTCCCAAGGGAACAGTGAGAGTTAGCATTCAAGGAATGACTAATGACAGAGTAGGGGTAGCTGAAAATGATAAGAAAATACTATTTATGGTTGAAATGAGAAACGTGAAATATTTGTTTTGATACTCCGCTGTTTCCAGCAATCATTCTTCTACTTAGGCATTTTGTTTTGTCTGAGGATTGCTGTCGTATTGAGGCATCTCTGCCAGTTGAAGTTAATTTCCTTTCCTTCGTTCTTTCTTATATACTGATACTGGGATGCCAGTGGAGTCCTTGCCATGAAAGTGGTTAGCCATATAGACTCCTTAAATCAGTTACTCCCTTTTTGTATTAAAAGAAGATACACTACTAAAACTGTATCCCTAAAAGTGTGCCCATGGACTAGAATACTTGACATATTTTAATATTAAAGTGTGGGCAAGGCCTGAAAGTCCTTTGGGACAAAGACATAATATGCTCTTATAAAACATGCCCTCACTACTTGTACTGAAGAGTAATGGTTCTTTACACCTGCAGAGGTGCTGGCCTATGCTACTTTCTATCTCACTTGTGAATTTATCTCTTTAGAGACTTGCTTATAACCCTTTGTGTAAGTTTTTAAATTAAGTTATATGGTTCCCAGAGGCCATACTACCTGCTCCTGACAGATGTCTTTAGCTGAGTTTAGTCTGAGGCTATTCAGACTCTCCTCGTCTTCTGCAGAACTTTCCTTCCCTGGGATCCTCTCATTATGTTTTTCCCCTTACCTTTTTGTGCTTGATCTGTTTGCATCAAACAACTTTTATTTTTAGTAATTCATTT